GGGTGGGTTTGTCAGGCGTCTGTGTTCACCAAGACAAAATTTTGTTATCGGTAGGGGACCCTGAAGTGTGAGAGGTGCAGTCGCTGCCACGAGGGTTCGGTAGCTGTCCAGTTTTTCCAAACCAAATTGTGTTGGTCATCCAAGGGACAGAGGTTCCTTTGTTTGTCCATGCTCCAATCTATTCGTGGGGAGCAGCACGTGCTGGGAATCGGGCCCTGCATCCCATATGAAGACATGTAGAAAGAAATTATGAACAAATTGAAGTACCAGGGCCATTACCCAGTTTCGACTTGAGAGTATCCTCCAAGATCATAAACAAACTGCTGAAAATCGGGATAGATGATGAGAAAACTACGAATAAAGATGATGAGAAAAACTACGAATCATTTTTTACGATCGCTAAACACCTCCTGAAATCCACCCGCAATTCTCCGAACACTCAAGTATCTAAGGGAATTCCAGCAGATCTTAACAAAGCTCACCTAAACTGACTTATTCTCTAACAAACTCATCCAGGCCTCACGCCCCCTATCCGCTAGGTTACAGAGCAACGTGACTCACTCCAGCTCCGACCAGTGTCGTCCTGTATCAGCAACCCCCAGTTGTCTCTTAGGATGCCCCCGCATAGCATCCCCAGATCTCTCTACATGGCCTCGTGCCCTCACCTTCGGCAAGTTACAGGTCATCACCCCGGCTCCAGCCAGCGTCGTTCTGGCATGGAACAACCACGGATCCTGAATATAACAGTCTAATTTCAGTGCAGCTTCATACAAACCACCAACAGTCTCTCAGAGTCCTGAGAGATCCTTCAAACTACCAGGAATAACAAGGGTGCTTGTTTTGAATATTCTAGGAAGAATCAGAAAAAGTCCCAACCAAATTCAAGCAAAGGATATAGAAATTCCCCCCTTTCCCCTCATCCCCCTGCCCCACCGCTGCCTCCACCGAAAAGGACCGCCCCTGATCACGAGCACTCCTCATTGGCCCCAACTTTGGACAGACCCATTTACCCCCCTACTCCCACAAAGGCATCGAGTTCCCACCCAAAGTATGCCTCTGCCAACCCCTATCCTTATCTGCCTCCGCCGGGATATGATGCCGACCCATACATCTCCCCCAACCCCAGAATAGAGCATCCCCCAAAATTTGCCCCGTCTCCCTTCAGGGCAATCACCTCCCTCCTTGTGAAGCCCCTGCAGAGTAAAGCTCTCCCCCAACCCACCCCCTCACCAAGAAGAAAATTTGTTTATACTAAAGAGGAGAACCAGAAATCCAGACGTTGTTGTATATTATTTCCCCCCCTCCCCTACATCTCCCCCTATCCCTCCGCTGCCCTGATCACAAACTCTCCTTATCGACCCCAACTTGGGATATACCTGCTTCCTTCCCCTACTTCCACTAAGGCATCCAGTTCCACCCAAAGTATGCCTCAACCACCCACTCACCCCTATCTGCCTCCGCTAGGAAATGATGCCAGCCCATACATCTCTCCCAGCCCCAGAATAGGGCAATCCCCAAAAATCCGCCCCCACTCCCTCAGGGCATTTCACCCCCCACCTTGTGAAGCCCCTGCGGAGTAGAGCTCTCCTCCTTAAAACCCCAACCCCCCACCCACACAAAAATAATTAATTAATGCGCCCGAAGGGGAACCAGAAATTAATAGTGGAGAGAAGAAAAAACGAGCCTCAAGAGCTTAAGGAACTCCAATTCCTAAGATATGAGTGGAAGAATGGGAACTTTCTGAAAATTATGATAAAGAAAGGTAGATGAGAGTTTTTCGTTTGGATTTGCTGATGACGATGAACAACATCCTGAAGATGATGATGATGAAGATGATGATGACGACCAACCTCACGGATACCAACCTCACGCCCAATGCGACTTCCTGATCGGAGTGGGATGGAGGCCCGGAAGTGCGAAAAAGGGGTGTGTCAAGGATTTTAGGATAGTGCACGTGGAGTTCCAGGTCAGAACTGAAATCTCCTGTGGCAAGCCTTAGGGGCAATTATGCAAGATAGTGAGCGCGAACCGCGTCCGACTTTTCTGCCTTCGCGGATGTCATCGCCATCCCCGTGAGTTTCATTGCCGACGCCGGACTCGGATTTGGCTCGGTGAACCGATGGAACGCTATGTGTGTCGCGTTGCCTCACCAAGCGCCAACGTCGCTCGTGATAAGCCTCCAAGTCGGAAGCGGGCCTCAGGCGCAGGCTGTGTGCTCGTTGTTTAGCCTCAGTCCGTGTTCGTCAAACGAACCCCGTGGCTCGGTACTCGCAGTCCTGCTGGCACTCGGAGCGCAGGGGTCGAGGCCAGTAGGGGGCGAGTGCGTGCCACGGGGTCACCGTCAGGCAGTGAAAACTTAAAAGGCAACACGAGGCAATAGGGAGCGAAGTCTGTCTCAATGATGACGACACCGGGTTCGGCGATGACGTGACTTAAGTGTGAGCTGGGAACTGGTAGGGAATAGGGATCGCGCTTAGAGGTTGTTTGACATCCCACTCACAAACACGTTTGTCTCCCGTCAGAAAGGGGAACTTTGGAGGGTTGGGGCGGGGTTGTGCGAGAAGACAGACGTTTTTCCACTCCCAGTGTTATCGGAACCGTCGGTGTCTCAGGCTCTCTAGATCCGTGAAGTGGAAGGGAGTCTCATCATCCATGCTACCTGAATTTTGCGAGTTTACACACAGACTCGAGCGCAGACCCCGTAGACGCGCGTGCAGGCAATGTTCGTTTTGATCGAGCCTGCACGTATGCGCTCGAGACCACATTTGTGACCAGTTGGATCGGATCGACTGACTTTCGCTCTGGTTGGGAGGTCGTTTGACCCATCGTCATGCTAGCCCGTGGGCGCGTCAAGAAACAGATATTAGGAAGGCAATCCCTTGGCAATCACTCATTTGAATCCACTTACCCACCAGAGCATGCATCAACCAGGTCCGCCAAATGTTTGTTGGATTCTTCTCTCTTATCAAAAACCAAACGAGAAACTGACATGCATACTTGGGCATCGATCAAATTCCTACATTAATTGAACTCAAGGGCCGTGTGGATTTCCAGAAAAGCATAGCAAGAGATCGACCAGGGGTTGCGCATCAAGCCATGTCATCGAGGAAGCTTACATCATCATAACCCAAGCTCCCCTAGGTCACGCGCAGACCGTCGTCGTGCCCGATCTCATCATACCATGGTGAAACAAGGGTGAGGGGGAAAATCAAACCATTCACAAGAAAGACACAGACGAGGGGTAATCCTGAACAGAAAGAGGACCGACGCCACTCATCAAGATAATAGAGGCGGGAGAAAGAAAAGAGGGACACCATTCCACACATATTATAAGCAAAAAATCCAAAATGATTCGCAAGAAGACCGGAACGGCCATTGCAAAATCGACCAAGGTTGAAATCAAAATTTATACAGAGGGCTAGAGAAAGGCATCATCCCACACACATATCTCTCTATCTCTCTCTCTCTTTCTCCCCACGCTACATCACCTCTGATGCGGGCAGTTCGTCGCCTCGCACCAACACCGAGTCGTGACCCTGCTTAGTCCAAGTACGCAAACCCGGTTCGCCCGTGCGTCACAGTCCGTCGTGGCCCGCACGTCAACCCCGCCTACTCGGCACCAGCTCGCTGGGTCGCCCGACTCACTTCGGCTCGTCTTCTCACTTACTTGTTAGCCGATCCTCACTGACCGCGCTAACTTCCAAATTCTGAGAAAGCAAACTAATTGCCCTTATGGGATTTTGAGCGTGCATGCTTGCGCGACGAACTCGGGATTATGCCTAAGTGAGGGGAAGGGGGAAGAGAAGTGCCTACGCCTGCATGGCCAAGCCGCGGCGTGGAGGACGCAGCCACACTCCATGCATTGATCCGGTCATGCAGTCGCTTAGGCCAATTAGAATGGAGGATGAGGTATGCACGACAAAGGGGAAGAAGGTGGGGAAACACGAGAGAATCAAGAAGAAGGAGTACAGTTATAATCGCACGCGCGAAAAAATTACAGTTACATGTAGGATTAAGGGCACGATGTAGTCAGAGCCCAGTTCCTACTGCGGTGAGACGTGCGCGAGCAAGAAGCGCGGCGCAACAAACTTCTGGAGCACCTAAATTCCTAGTCTAAATCCTATTTGCAAAAAGAAATTCCGAAAAGCTTAAAAGAAACAATTTCAAGAGCCCGTCATCCGTTGCAAATTTGAAAACGACGTTCCCGCGCGCTAATCGCGCCAAAATTCCTATCTCCCACAGCAGAACAAGAAAGAAGTTATGGCAACCGCTATTTATCGCGCTCACTAAGGCGCGGTCACTCAATCGTCGTCGAAGGACTTTCCCGGCTCTGATCCCGAAAGCAAAGAAAGAAAGAAGCGAGGATATCCAAACAAGTTGCCCGGCCCACCATCCATCTTTCACCCGTCCAACCAGTTTCCAGCCCCCGAAATAGCTTCATGCTTAAAGTCGTGCGATTGCAGAAAATAGTTTGTCACATATGTGACGCCCAGGGGGTTCCAATCTTGAGCAAGCTCCTGCTTTCTCTCTCATCAGGTGTCGAATCATGATCCGAGGATCGACGGGAAGTTCGCATGTGCCACTTACCATAAGATCTGAGTGTGGAAGTCATCCAACGTGATATTTGTGCGCTCCATTCTAAACGTTACCCGGGAAAGGCAATCTGCTTACGGGCGAAGGAGGTGGTGTATGGACTTGGGGAAGGGAAGGCATGAAGCGATGGATCTCTCGATCGTGAGTGGGGAGTCGGGTGTAATGAATCGTGCAGTGAATGCGGGAAAAACGCGGGTGTTGACGTTGGTGGGGGCGTGAAGCGAGGTAATCGGGATAGAGCGTGCAGAGGGTGCGGTGGATAGCACCACCGAAATCGTCATACCCTTCACACACTGGGATCGTGCCCGCGATGATACAATACAACTCTATATTATTGAATTCATGCCAATCCACGCTAAAGAGAAGGACGTGGAGGGGGAAAGAGGTAGCGAGCGAGCGAGTGATAACGCGTGGGAAGATTGTGATCAGGAGGCGAGTGGACTCAGTGGAGTAGAGGCGGTGGAAGGGGGAAGGCGGGAAGGGGTGCCATCCATCAAGGAATGGGGGTCGGCCTACGAGCTGCAGAAGACTGAGGAAGTCATGGGGACGACGGGATAACGACCGGGCACGAAGCCCGAGTGCCCGCATCTCGACGTAGGCGAAGGTTTGGCCGGGGAGGGGATTGGTTCGGGGATTCACTTCTTCGGCGACGTCGGCCTCCCGATCCCTCTGTCGTGGCACCTCCATTTCTCTTGGCCTCTTCTTGTGGCAGTTTCGGATTGAGCGTCGGATCGCCTTGTAGCAATTGCGGCGGTGGCCCTCTTGATTCCTCAATCGGCCGCTTACCTTCTGCCGCTGTTCGTTTCCTCTGTGGCACGACCTTTCTCTCTTCCCTGCTTAGTTTGTCAGGATCGCTCGACTCACCCGATCCGGCCTCTTCTTCCTCAGTCTCCTTCCATTCCGAGCTGGCCTCTTCTGACCCGACATCCTTCGAGTCGTGATAATCGGGATCGTCCGACTCAGCCTCCGATTCTTCTTCTTCTGGTGTTTCCTCTCCTTCCTTGTACTGAAGATGGTCGTCCTCCTCGATCTCTTCCTCGACTGCTTCCTTTTCTTCCTCTTCGGCTTCCTCGCTGGTCTCTCCTACGTTCACTCGCCGGATGAGAGGATCCCAGAAGGAGAGATCAGTGACGTTGATGACCAGGTAAGCGCCCTCGGAGGGATAGCAGTAATGATCTCCGACGAGCTTTGTGCACGTAGACCACAGGAGATGGGGGGCCAAGGCACGGGCGAGTGTGGCAGTCCCGGGCCTTTCGTCGCAGCGCGAGAGGATGTCCAAAGGTAGGTCGTGCACCAGTTGGGTCAAGAACACCAGCACTTCGTATGTGATCGAATCCAGGTGGCTGTCACGTACTTCCCCGAACAGGATCCCCAGAAGCTCACCCTCCGTATCCGTCCTCCACGCCTGGACAATCAATAACTTCGGCTCATCATCCGAGATCTCGTCCTCCTCACTCTTGTCAGCAGGTCCCGCCCAGTGGAAAACAACTTTGAGGAGGAAGAAGTTGAGCGCCACATAAGCGTGCCACCACAGTGCCCACTTGGCGGCGTCCAAAGTTGGCACGTCCAACTGCCTAATCCTGAACGATAGAGTGGGGTCCACAGCAGACACCCAAAACGTAGGAATGTCGGAGGGAAGGCTGGAGGTAGAGAGGCGATGGCGGTTCATTGAGGCCAGGTGAAAGGACGGAGCTCCGAGAGGACGACCTCTGGCGCCGTGGAGGAAACCCGAAGCTGAAGATCGATGTCGTTGGCTGTTACGACACGATCGCACGGTCGAGCCAGTAATTGCACCCACTCGGTCGTGATGCGCGCTGCCCAGTCTCGCAGTTGTCGGAGGATCACGGTGTGCCTTGCTTGATGTAGTGTCGTGATGTCGCCTATAAATATGACAATGACTGATACGTGGCTCTTATCAAGTGGGGACGGACGTAAGAAGGCCGACACCTCAGCCAATACTCGTGCTGCCCCGGACAACGGGAATCGCAACTCCGCCACCACGTGAATAGCCGTTGTACTCAAGAAGTCCGCGAATCGGAGAAGATCTGGACTCAATCGACGACGCTGTACTTGCCGGATTGCAGAGATGGCTCCCCCGGGTACCATTAGCCGCTCGCTGATGACTTGCGCGGTGGAAAAACTCATGGCGATGGCGAGGGAGATGAGGGTTGAGAAGAAGAAGGGTCAAGGTAGTTGAGATGATCGTCTTCCTCCTCGCTGTCGGGGGATGACGTGGAGGATGGAAGAGAAGGGGAAGATGAGAGAGGGCGAAGGTAGGACACGTGTCGAATAATCGGACGAACCGATCGACTTCCCGACACCTCCGGTGCGAGCCGCACATTGGTCACTCCGCTAGGACCGAGCTCGACCACGTGAAATTGCCCGAAGAATCGTGGCGCTCGCTTACCCTGGCGAGCACATTTCCTCACTTGCACCATGTCCCCTAACTTATACTAGGGTCGTGGTCCAAAGTTCCCATTTCGGGCCTCGTAGCTCCGGACATGTCGTCCGTGGGCCATTTCAGTCATTCTTTGTCGATTTCGGGCTAGCCGGGGGAGGGCTTTTTCCATTAATTTCAGGTGGCGTTGGGCCTTGTCTTTAACCGTTGCTCTAGTGGTCGATCGCGGAAGGGTCGTTTCATCCTTTAGGCTCGGTAGGGCTACACAGGCCACACTATTGGTCCGTAATTGAAAAGGGGATAGGTCGGTGGACTCGTGGGGTGTCCCTTGATGAAGAGCTAGGATATGGTCGATGATATCGGGCCAAGGCCTTGTATCTTGGGCCGCGATATTACGCCGTAACACTGTCTTGATCACCCGATTGGCGTTTTCTACTAGTCCGTTTGATTGCGACATATGATGAGCGGTATTGTGAATCGAGACACCGTGTAGGACCAACCTCCTCAAGACTTCCCCTCAAAATTATGCCCCGTCGTCCGTTAGGATTTCCTCGGTGTCCTGATGCATCCCGAGAAAACGGTTGACATACCGCGCGATTTCCACCACTTGTCGCGTCTTACACGGATACGTCTCTATACAATTCGAAAAGTGGTCTACAAATACCAAAAGAAGTGAATATTCACATCTATTTGGTCTAGGGGGCACAACAATATCTGTGGTATTCATGCTGAGCCTTTGGAACGGCCGTTCACTATAGTGGGCACTATCGATCTAGGCGGGTAAATCGGCGCCTTGTCGGCGACACAGACGGGACAGTTTCGGACAATGAATTGAACATCATCGTGAATATTGGACTTGGTCTAGTACCATTCGGTTTTATTGATTGTCGCCTCCATGATTCGGACGGCGAAGTGGGTCGCCGTTTCCTCGTGGGCCGACTTGACACATACATATCTCATGAACGGATGAGGCACAAACATCCAAATCTCACTACCATCTGTCTTTCGCTTTTCTAACCGTCCCTCGCCCCATCGGTAGTCCCGTGACCTCTCATTGGCCCTCCTCCGGTCCTCCTTAGAGCTATCCAAACGACATTTGTCCACACTTCGGCCCTTCTGAATTGTCGGGTTTTTTCCAGCCCTTCTGACGTGGCTTCGAGAAATTGAGCTTCTGTCGGAATTTTATCAATGCGGCACAAGGGACATAACCAGGATTTACCTTCATTTCTATACTGGATGCAGGCACTAGGACACATAAGGACCGAATAGACCCTCGAGATTGCTTCAGAAAAGTAACAAAATTTGTCGGGTAGGGATGGGAAAGAGGAAGACAAGAGGGGAGAAAGAGGACCTTCGGGATTACCTCCATGGTCCATCGCCATCGTGTCTACCGGTCACTTCTTAGAAGTCCGAGGAAGGATGGCCACCTAGCCGTACGAGGGCTCGCCGGTTGGTTTTGGTTCCTTCCACGGTGTAATCTCTTCACCCTTGGCCACCCTGCTAGGCCGATACAGTCGTGTCAGTCCGTCGGCGTTACCATGCTTCTCTGTCTTCCGGTGAACGATATCAAAATCGTATTATTGCAGTCGTACAGTCCATCGTTCGATCATGCCCGTGTAGTTGGTAAGCCTCTTGAGAGCCAGCAGGGGCTCATAATCCGTAACGAGGAGGAACTTATGTCCGTACAAATACAGATGGAAGTGTTGAATCCCCCATACACCCACGTAGCACTCTCCCTGAGGAGCCGAATCGTTTCTTCCCTCGTCGGGTACCGTTCGCGAAGCGTACTCGTAACGTGTTCGCGACCGTCTTTCCCCTTCTGAGCCAAAATAACGAAGATTGCTTCGGCTGCCAGTCCGTAATTAGTATGAATTGCTTCCCTGGGTCAGGCCGAATCAGAATAGGTGCGGTGGCCAAAGCCTCCTTTAAGGTGACAAAGGCCTGTTCACACTCGGCGTCCCAACTAAGCGGTTGGTCCTTCCGTAGAAGGTTCATTAGAGGTCGGGCGATTGCTGCAAAACCCTTGATAAATCGACAGTAGTACGAGGCCAGTCCCAAAAAGGCCCGGACTTGTGTCAACGTCGTTGGTGTAGGGGCATCATGAACGGCCGCGACCTTTCTCGAATCCGGTCGTAAGCCTCCCTGAGTCACCACCACGTACCCGAGGAATGAGATTTCCGAAAAGAAAAACTCACGCAATCTTGAAGTCAGCATCCTGCAATGCCCCAAGTGTCCATTCGACATGTTGTGCATGCCCGTGAAAATATTCCGAGTAGACCAAGATATCGTCCATGTACACAATAACGCAGAAATTCACCATGCCCTGAGTTAGCCTGGTCTTGTTGACGAAATTTTGAAATGTGACGTTCATCGCTCTTTGAAAAGTAGTTGGCGCATTGCAAATTCCTATCGGGCAACAGACCCACTGCCAGGTGTCCTCGAATAACACAAAGGCCGTTTTCGGCCCATCCTCCTCCTTGACTAGAATATGATGAAATTCATGACGAATATCAAACTTACTAAAATACATAGCACACCCAATCGCATCCAATAGATCATCAATCCGAGGAAGGGGGTATACATCCTTAATCGTGATATCATTCTGCTTCCTGTAATCAATGCAAATGCGAATCGACCCATTTTTCTTCGGGGGTACACATCTTTTCGTCCGCCGAGACGAGATGATCTCCTTCCATCAGGGTGATCAGATCCTTCCTTCTTCCTGCTCGTTCAACGACTCTCAATGACATAGCCAGTACCGTGGCTCCTGAATCGATAATAGCGCTGTAGGGGGTTCCCCATACCTCAATATCGTATTCCGCCGATTTTCACGGGATGGTTTTGATCCTAAAAAAATGTTCATATTTTTGGAGTATCCCTAAGGACCCTAACCGTATTGGGTTCGAAGTACTAGGAATGTCCGGCCCGTCTTCGAGGGTCGGGGCTTTTCCTTTCTGAACCGCCGATTTGGCGAGAGCAAACCGTTTTTTGTTTGCTTTGCAATGTTGTAGCATGCGCTCATTGGCTTGCTCCGATATGGTCAGCAGGTGTCCGATAGGTAAAGGAATTTGGTGATCGAGAGCTCGGACGATGT